ATTTGGCGACCCTGCGTTGTCCTCACCATTCTTCTTCCTCCCCCATCCTTCGACTCTGACATCAGAGTGGCAAACTTATCCATGTCGGTCCACTCGGAGCAGATCTACTTCGCCTTAACCATTCGATCGATATCGTAGGTTACCCTTAACCTGAGCTTCGCAACAAAAAGTTTCACCTAATGCTAGTGCGAGGAGAGCTCAACAAAAAAAAAAATCAACAGAGAGCTTCATTATGGCTATATTCTCCTACGTGGCTCAATTTTTCTGTTATTGCCCGAGAACCTTGGCTTCAGTTGCCGCTGCTCGTTCCTCCGCCTCCTTTGCTTTCTCGTCGGTCGAAGCCAACTTTTTCTCAATCTCCAGGTGTTTCATGTTCTTGGACAAGGACCGTCAATGGAAAATGAGAAGCCTACCAAGCCATTAATTGATATCTATCGATCATCTCACACTGACCTGAGAGGTTGTGCTCCATAAGAACTCTCTCATAGGCGTGAGACTAGATGACACTGGTGAGAGTCGAAGGGTAAAGAGCCGCAACGGGGTAGTTAGAATACCAATCTTTCTCGAGGTCAATTAAGACAAACCAACTGTTTGAGCTAGTGCTCACTTTCACGCCGTCATCTTGCATTGGAACCCACTCAAGTGCGGATCCCTTACGCCTCTTCTGAGACAGCGAAGGGGGCAAGTCATTAAGATCGACCGGGAGTTGCTTCCTCTTGCGGTGCACATCCTCTTGGTTGGGGACTCGGGCTCGAACTCTGGTGCACTTGGGCCAACCAGAGAAGGACGCTTACTTCATCTCGGGCAGGAAGATCCATGGTGTGGATGACTGAGGGGTGGCAGATGTTTCTTCTTCTCACTTCAACGAAGGCTCTTCTTCGCGTCGGCTTGACTTCACAATGCTTTTGCCATCCTCTTACTTTATTGGTAATGGGCACCCACCTAAGGGAGCTGCAATCAACATAGAACTTTTAGTAGGCGCTATAGCAATTTTCCTTTTAATAAGGATTAGCTCGCCAATGGCAATCCATTGAAAAAAAATAGAAGAATTCGACATAAAGTAAATTATTTCCGCACCTTCTAGATTTTTACTAGGACGGACCACCAGAGGTTTCTGTCAGCCTGCCACTTTCAGTGTAGGTTGATTAAGCATGACCAATCATATGGGTCTTCTTATTTGTTGCTCGGGTGGCAATCATGGCCTCCCATTTGGCCTCCTGAGCTTCATAAGCCACCTAATCCTCCTTCGTTATCCGTCTGAAGGTGTTTGGTTGTAACACCCGGTTGAGAATTACCTGATCAATCTGTTGGTGGACGAAAAATCGACACCCTTCGACCCCCCTAGCTTTCACCAATACTCAATCTGGCACTTCTACTGAATGTACCATCCCTTGGGAGAAGAATCAAGACAATAGTGAAGTTTCCATTCCTTCACCTTATTTTCCATCTCTAGCAGCTGGAACATGCCAACGAAGGCAAACTGAATATAGTCTTTCGAATCAAGCCGGAATGCAAACATATATGTGAGAAGCTCTATCAACCAAAGAATCCCCGTCCGACATCAAATAATGATGAAGTTCATGATTGTGACAATGAAATTTGGCACCATCTGGGTTGGAATAACTACATAATGATTAAAGTGGTCCTCAAACCAAAGCAGAACTGATCTTCGTAAAAAACGATATCAGTGCCAATTGGAGCAGTCGCTTGGCTATTCTCGCCAGCGACCCAAAAATTCATGATGGGGTTGACGCATAGGTTTCTTATAATCGACCCAAAAATTCACAATGAGACTACTTACTTGAAGGTCTTTGGAGAATACTTTGGAGCCATCAAGCATAGAGCAAAAGGAAAAACTTGACGGATTGAAGAAATTGGAGGAGAAATACAAGTAAAAGCGTTGCATCATTAAACCCCTCACCCTTATATATATATATATATATATATATATATACTGGGAG